GAGCCGGGCAAAGGAGGTGGTGCCACCCCGCTACAAGCTGGTCTGCCACGTGCTGCTGGGCCAGCGGGGCCAGCAGAGCCTGCTGGTGGCCAGCCGGGCACTGTGGGACCCTGAGAGCGACAGCTTTGCCTCCGCCACCTTCTCCAACACTTCCCTCTTTGCTGTGGCCACAGTGCATGGGGTTTACTTCGAGTAGCACCTGCCTCTCCCTCCACTCAGCATTGTAGGGCTGCAGGGGGAGAACAGCTGAAATAAAGAGGTTTGCTCCTGTGGCTCATACCTGGTGGCTTTAGCCATGGTACATGCAGGGAAGAAAGCATGGATGCACCTCAGTGCCTCGATGCTCACTACAGCCCTCAGCCTGAGCTCACTCCCACACTGTAGCTTCCACTGCCACGGTTTGCAAAAAGACCCAAGCTGCAGCAAATACAACCCAAAAGGCTGCATTACCCTGGAGCAGGCAGCTGCCCAAGGCCATGCTACAGGGAGCAGCCCAGGCTGCTTCCCACAGCACAAGCTGCTCCCAGGCAGATTGATTACACCAGCACTGGGGAAGGAGGTGACAGATCACCTTCAAAGCAAGCTCATGGAGCTGATTAAGTCTCTCCTCCTGGCTTCATTCCCAGCTCATATCCCATCACACCAGCTGTCATAGCGCAAGGACCCAGGCAACCCACCCAGCCCCTGGGCCACAGCTCCTGCCTTCTCCAGCTCAGCAGAAGCTTGAGAGCAGCTGGGTTTGGTCCAAGTGCAGAGACAGTTGGGAATGAGAGTTTGGCAGCAGCAAGGAGAAGCTGAGGCAACTCCAGGGCTCCACATGCATCAGCAAGAGCCAACCCTGCCCTTCCTGCCAGCCCTGGGAAGGGCAGTGGAGGTACCACATGGGCTCCTCACCCCCATCCTGCCTCCCTGACCTTGTTCTCCAGCAACAGCCAGTGTCAAGAGGGGTCTTGCCTGGCAGCCAGAAGCAGCCCTGGGGCAAGGATGAAGATAAAGCCCTTTTGTGACCAAGGCCCCAGCTCCAAGCAAGGCAGACAGTTTGCCCTTACACAAATAAATTTTTATTGAGGTGAGTCAGGGACAGGGGAGCTGCACATGGACAGACCAACAGGAAAATAAATAATTCCATATAAATAAGATACATAAATACTCCCACATGGCAGAGACTGCCTTGAAACAAGAAACCTCCCTGGGTCCCAGCGAGACAAGGGCTTCTCCAGGCAAGCCCTCAGATCCCATCCCCCCCTCCCGCCCTTTATCAAACCTCAAGTTGTACCAGACAATTCACAATTTGGGAGCGGACAGGGCACAGTTGGGCCCAGCACAACCCCCTCCTTAGTGTAGCAGTTGTGGAGTGGCACACACCAGCCCACACAGCCCCTGGCAGGGCAGGCAGCGCCCTTCACCCCTGTCCACCCCTGAGAAGGTGTTTTCCCTACCCCACAGCAGCCAAGCCTTGAGGTCAAGGCTGTGCCGGTCCTCTCCAGATCATGGAGAGGGTCTGTGCAACTGGCGCATCACCTTGGGCAGGACAGCCCTAGCCCTCACTGCAGGCTGGAGCACCAGGCCATGAACGAGGCACAGCCAGACCCAAACCTGGCTGCAGGGCACTCACCCACCACCTCCCTGTGCCACTCTAGTCCACTCCACCAAGACCAGCACAACCAGAGCAGGAGCTGCTAGCAGGAAGACAGTGATTGCCCAGAGCCAGGGAGCAGCAAGGATGTCCTGCCGGGGAGCAGCAAGGATGTCCAGCCCTGCTGCTGTAACCACATCCATGTGTTTTAGTCCAGAGTCCAGCTGAGCACCGGGATACAGGGTGCCCAGGTGGGCAGCCAGCACCACAACATACCTCCCATCCTGTGGGAGGGCAGGGGGAGACCTCTACGTCCAGAGAGGGTCCCCCAAGGTCCCATGCTAGGCCTCAGCCCGTTCTTGGAGGAGCTTGAGGATATATCTGAGGCGGTGGTGGAGCTCAGGAGAGCAGCCCAGTTCCTGGATGCTGCACAGCTTGTAGGTGTAGGAGTTGCGCTCCCGGTTGATGTAGGTGACAAGGCAGGAGTGGTCAGGCTTGCTAATGATCACCTTGGTGTGGTCGTTGTAGAAGTTCACCTAGGAGACAGGTTAGGCTTGGTTTAACCCACACTTCCCACGGCATGTCGGGAGCCGGGATGGAGCCACGCTTCCTGCCTCAACCCGTTCCTCCTCCCCGACCTGCCCGGGAGCATCCCTGCTCCATGCCCCACGGCGGGAACGCGCCAGGCCCAGCACCGGGGCAGACGGAAGCATCCAACTGAAGCATCCGACTGAAGCGTCATGTCCCCTACAGGCTGGACAAGCTGCAACCAGCAGCTCCGGGCACTGGAGCAGCATCCTGCACCCACAGCTGTTTTCACAGCTGGACCTTGCATTTGGGCTGTGGCAGACAAGATCTAACACAGGCCAGGAGTCCCCAGCTGGCCTCCTCCCCACAAGGCTCTGGGCATCTCCACTGTGCTCCACTCGTACCTGGAGGGTGCCGCTGCTGAAGAGCATGAGCAAGGCTTGGTCGGTCTTCACCCACTGCAGGAGGAGCAGGGCCGGCTGCCCGAGATCATCTATGCTGGGCAAGTCACCTCCCTTGAAGAGAAGGGTCTGTGTAAGCCACTAGTCCCATACACGGGAGCACTGCCATCGGCATACACACAGCCAGACCCGGACACACCCCCAGTGGGGTCCCCACTCCCAGGACACAACTCTCCAGGTGTCCACCTGGCCACAACCTGTGAGCAGAGTGTCCCACAACCCCAAGCAGTGTGGTCAAGCTATGACACACCATCCAGCCTACCCATGATCCCAGCCCAGGGCCCCAGCACCCACCTTCATGAGATGCTGCTCCATGTAGGACGCAAAGTAGCGCAAGACACTCATCTGTCCCTGCAGCTGCTCGGGGATGGCGGCCACAGAGAACACAAGGTGTTTGCTGTTGGTCGGGTTGTAATGCACCGTCCTGGGAGGGAGCAGGCCATGAGCTTTGGGGCCACCCAGCACCAAACCCACTCCTGGCACAGCCTCCCCTTGCCCCTTCCCACCCGAGGGGCTTCCCCAGAGACAGCAGCCCCTTCTCCACCACTTACCTGTGGTTGGGGGAAAGCGTCATGTGCGTGCCATTGTTGAAGAGGACCCCGATGCTGCGGTTGGAGAGCTGGTAGCCAAAGCCGTACTTGTTGGAATAATCCACCCACTTGCTCACCCAGACAAAATGCTCATGACGGGCCAGGGAAGCCGGGTTTTTCTCCGCTGGTGGAGAGGAGAGTGGGTGAGCAGAGCAGAGCAGGGTGCCCACCTCACCTCCCCAGGGGGGAGCAGACCCCCCACAGCAGGCTCTGGCAGCATTTAAGGTACCCCCAAATAGCAGCCGGGCCTTCATCCCATGGGGAAGGGGATGCACAGCACCCCATCCCATCCCAGAGCAGTCCAACCAGTTTACCTGGGGGCATGGAGGAGAGGCAGGTCCACAGGAGCCGGACAGCCGACTCGATGATGGCAGAGGCAGTGATGCAGTCTTCAAAGGCTGCGGAGAGAAGATGACAGGCTGAGTCAGCCGGCCCCACTATCAGCCAGGGCAGGACAGGAAGCTCAGGGCAGGCTTGGGGTGGCCTAGGCAGGTATTGCTCACCCTCACAGCTGCTGGCCATTATCCCCTGGATGGAGGGGGACACAGACTTGCGAGATGTCTCCTCCACCACTGTCTCCACGGGGCTAGAGCTGGCACTGCGGCATGATACGGGGGTGCCCTGTGGAAAGACCTGGCTTTATCACCAACCTGCCTTCTCCCCTGAAGAGGGGTGTGCATGGCTTGGGGATGTTCTCACCTCATTCCCTTCCACAGTTTTATAGCTCATCTGCCGGCAGATCGAGGTCTTCATCAGCCCAGTGACCAGCTTAGAGATGTCATCCTTGTCCTCCAAAGAACCCTTCTTGGCTGAGGAGAGAGCAAGCGATGAGTACGCTGCTGAGCGGAGGGGATGGGGACATCTGGGCCACTCCCCCCAGCAGCTCAGCTTCTCCCTCATCTGCTCCCATGCCCATGGTGGTGAGGATGGTGTCAGGCAGCCGTCTCCTACTTTCACTTCCCAGTTCTCATGCAACACAGGGCTTCCAGGAGGAACTGCCCCCATGGGTTGCGGCACAGCATCCGCTCTCCAGGCACACACCCATGCCAGGCTACCAGCACCAGAAGGGCAGGGGCAAGTCCAGCTTGTGCTGGCCCTGGGTAGGGGGTCCACAGAGACCCATCGGGACATCTCTCCAGGAGATGGGACCCACTTTTCCCTGGAGGAAGGGTCACCCAGAGGCTCCTGGGCCTCATGGACTCACCCTTGGGTTTCTTCTTCCCAAAGAGTGTCTTGGTGACTTTAGCGAACAGACTCTTTGCTGGGTTGGGAGGACTTAGCTCTGGAGCCATCACACAGCTGCTGGGAGGAAGCTTCTCAGGCGTGTAGCCCTGCAGAGAGGTCAAGGCAGAGGTTTGGTTTCCACAGCCCACGTGCTCCAGGCAGAGCAGCTGCCCTGGGCTGACCACAGTCACTCACAGCCCTCCTGACAGCCAGTTTGTGTTTCCGTCAAGCCTTGGCCCGACGACTGGCATCAGAATGGGAAACAGCCTGTGCTACAGGGACAAGGTGGCAGGAGCACACCAGATCCCTCAGCTCTCCTGGCCGGCGTTTGGGCAGGACAGTGGCTGCTTCTTTTGAAAGACTGACACTTGGGCTCCAAGGACAGCACCCTGCACAGCCCAAAAAGCCTCAGCCGACCTGCAGAAGGGTCAAGGCCAGACCCCCACTCACTCACCTTGAAGAACTCATGGTCCAAGATCTCTTCGAGGGTGAGGCGGTCCTGGGGGTTGCGTCTGAGGATGCCAGCAATGAGGTGCTTGGCAGGCAGGGAGAGGAAGACGGGGAGGGTGTACTCCACCTGCTTGATACACCTGTAGGTCTCCTTGAGGTCGGAGGTCTCAAAGGGAGGGTTCCCACACAGCAGGGTGTACCTGGGAGGGGACACGTGTGCCACCGTCACATCCCCACCAGGCTTGTGACTCAGCAGTACTTAAAGCAAGGAAGTTATTGGCATTTGGCCGGCCACACCTGGCCGGGAGCACCACTTCCAGCCCGGGTGGCCGCACTCACATCCGGCCACGCTTCCTCCTAGCAACTGTTTAGAGCAACAGGCAAGGAGCCCTGGGGAAGGGGAAAGGGCTGGCAGGAGAAGGCGACCCCGCTGCCGCCGCTCCCACCCCCTGCACAGCCGCCGGGGTGGAAAGCAGGGCAGGAAGCTTGCGGGCAGCGGCCGGGCGAGGGGCTGGATGCACCGAAGCAGCACAGCTATCGCGCCCCA